ACACACCACTTAGCCAATTCATCTTCTGGGCAAAGTCAATCGCTTTGTTTTGATCGATTGCTTCTAGTGGGAACCAAGCCAGCGTTGTCAGTCTTTGCAAGGTGAAGTTTACGGACGGCGGNATTCACCTGTATATTTCTCTCTCTTTCACTGCTCGGTGAATTTTGCAGATTTTTTCAGCCGCCGTGCAAGTAGTTTGGATCAGTCCAAGAGAGCATGGTTTGTTTTCAGACCACTGCCATCCGTCTTTGCTCAACCGAACACAGAATTTTATCAGAGTAGAAGGGTTCGTTCCATGTGTCGTTATTTTCGATTCAAGATTGTCATCAAGGCCAAAAACCGCAGAGAAAGATTCAATCTGACATTATGACCGACAGCACTCCGCACCATTCAGCCCATTGGCCACCTACTTCTTGAAATCTAACCGATTAGTTTTCTTTAAATGATCATTTATCCTTGAATTTATTGTTAAACCATTCTTGATGCGCATCACGACTACTCATTGCGATCCTTGTGTGCAAGAACTTAACTTTTCACGGAATTCGAAGTATGCTCAGACGGCTTGCTCCGTCTCGAATCGCGGGCGTGTCTCTGTGTGCAGTTGCACAGCGATGTACATCACACGCACAAATACGATTTCTTTTAACCATAATTCAATGCAACTCAGATCATCATTTATTCGATGTCTTTCACTTAACTTTGTAATCGTGAGTCATATGCAGATTTTTTACTTGAATATTATTGCCCTGTCCATAGTGCGCATAGTGTGCCCGGAGGGTATGCTGCTAATCTTCCCTGAGAATGCAAACATTAGATGAAAAACACAAAAACACTGTTTATTGGGAGTGCTTCATTCAACACAATAGTCAATCAAAAATCTTCCTTAAAGATTCTCAGCGTGAATAATCTAAGAGTACAGATCTATTACACACTACATGATTAAAATATTTTGAATTTTTGATAACTTGTTTACTCCACATTTGATGGGTTCTTTGATTGTCTAAACCTAACTCAAAAAGAGTGAGTGTATTGCTGAATTAATTAAAGAGAAAATTATGACATGCAATGTGATTGTTAGTGAAAACGCTGGCATTGCTGGTAACAGCAACTTAAAACACCCATCTCCTTGGATCGGAATGTGGGTTTGCACACGTCCATGGAACTTACTGATGCCGCAGTTGTGCAGGTGATCGCGGGATTAACTGCCAAATGCGCCAGACCGGATTGGATCGTAGGCGGTCCTGTTCGATCCACTTTCTGTGTAAGGTGTTGCGTCATGGGAAGCGGAGTGGAAGTGGATGTTGTGGGTACGGTCAGAGGGAGGCCTGCAGACGGTTCTTTAGGTATGCTTGACTTGAACCATCTCGATGGTCCGCCATGTGACGATATCGTACTTTCACATAGGAGGGGACGATCGGAACAACCGTTGGAACTCAGGCTCTTTCTTTCCAGAGGTGGTATTCCAACCAAACTTCTGGATATTGTTTCTCTCATTGCAGACGGATGGTGGATTGAGGTGGGACTAAGGCAACTGGAATTGTCCGAGGTTTTCGGTTGGGCCAGATTCAGGGGCGCGTCCACTTCAACCTGAATAGTCCGGACAGAAATTAGTGCTTTGTACTCAGAAATCATCGCTCAGAAGATCAAATAGACTATATTATCATCTATTTAGTGCCATGCCACGTCGTCATTTACACTATTTTCTGTAACAATTAATAGCAAAATCTAGAAAAGATACAACGTTTCAGCTCTGATGAAGTTTGAATATGGTTTCAAAGCTGTCGTTTTGACGACGCACTCCGGTTTTTTCTCTAATGACCTGAGAGAACATAAGTCATTGTTGGAGCGTCATTTTTACTCAAATAAGACTGTTGGAGAAAGTGTAATGCTTCTGCGCGCAAGCAGAAGACTAACGAAAAAGTATTTCTTTAGCCAACATTGCAAAACAATTTTTGAGTTAAAGATTCTCATTCACATAAAGACAGCGCCATCTGCACGTGCATAGAGTTTTGGCTAAAATACCAAAATCCTCGGTGCCCGTACCTCCTATCCTCATGAACAGTCAAAGATTCAGCTTCTAGTAGAAGCCCTATTCAGTAATTAGCATAGTTATCAAACCATTTTCCTCGAAACGCTGAAGTCTTCAACACGTGTAGTAAGAGATCAATTGTTCTGTCTCTTCATCTTGGGGAACCTACTGAGTAAAACTGCCGGCTCAAGCTTTGAATGACATAAGTTACTGTCCGATAACAGAGGCTTGTGGGCAACGAAACACCAAATGGTGATGCGTAAGCTGACTGTTGGAACTACGGACCGTGGATTTCATGCTGCACGACGCAGTATGGTGCTCAATGGTGGTCCGATGGAAACAAACAAATACGCGAACCGGGTGTTAACCCGGGGTCTAACCGCTGAGGTATGGAATGTATGACCACACAATAACCCGTAATTGATCATGCAGCGCTGTGCTTCAGTGTATCACAAGAATCAAAAGCCTGAAGACCCAAGTTCGAGATTTTTCCTACTCAACCGATTCGACCTTTGGGACAATTGTAGATAAAAACCAGCTCTGATATTGCATTGAATCTTTTTCTGACCAAGTTTTCTAATAATGAGTAGCATTTGAATGAATGAGCCCGATTCTCTAAAAACTCACGAAGGGTTTATCGTTCATTGCTATTCTTCGGGTATGTGTATTCATTAATCTTTTTCCCGATCATTCATATACTTTAAATCCCGATGTGAATTACACAAGACAAATCTTATTTACAGCTTGGGTTGAGACAAAAACACCTCGAAGAAGAATTTGGTAATTCAGTATTAAGTGTTGTGGCTTAGATGCGACTTTCAGTGTTTTCGTAGTGAGTAGTATATGAATGACTAAGCAGCAAATGAGATTTGCGTCGCCTAATGTCTTTAAAATGTAAATTACTAACTTAACGGGAGTGCAATTAATGCAGTCCTTTACAATTAATCGTCCAATTTCCTTGATCATTGATGGTTTGTCAGGAGTATTGAAAATTAGTTGTAGAGAATCGTGTCCCAGTAGCATGGAGAAACCTAACCCTGCGAATGATTGTATATTATTCCCGGTTGGAAAGAAACCCAACTGCTACGCGAACATGAACACAGAATTGGGATAGAGACCAGTTCATGGAAAGAATCAATTGTAAAAATATTGATAGTGACAAATGCTTCTATTCCAAGTTGTTCACGTTCTGTGGTCCACAATGTATCCAGCTTTCATACTAATGATCATGATGCATTTTGTATCCACAAGGCACGATTGATTCTGAAGTGCATTTTCCATGAATAAATGATGTTCCCTTCCTGCTTCGCTTTTCACTCGCATCGACCCTTGTATAGCCTCTCCTCCCCTGAGGATATCACAACCTTGTTTGTAATAAATCCCTGGTGTCTTTGTGATAAAAATTACGATTTATTAATGATAGAAGAATTGCTAAACCACATGTACTGGTACCTCATCCCTTTGTATCAGATCATAGTGTGCTGACCTTTACGCACGATATCAGGGGAGAGCAATTACCATATACTAGAGCAACGTTAATTTCAGTGAGCCAAACCGTTGGCTGATTCTGTAAGATATCCGTCAACACTGTGTTTACAGTACACTCGTACCTCAAACAGATTTTTCGAAGACGAGCTTCATTAGTATTATTCGGGTATTCTTTTAATGGTATTCCTGGTTCCTGTACCGCGATCCACATATGCACGAAATGAAATTCATGGTGTAACTTCTTCTAATCCGTGAAAGCGCAAGTTCTAGACGAGGGGGACAGTGATCAGCTGTGCTCTCTCTCTTCGAATTGGCTGGTTCCAATTACAACCCATTTTAATAGTTACTTCAAACCGTTTCCGTCTGGGTGTTTGCCTTGCAGATGTTCAACAGAACAATCATGATGAACGCCTTGAAACAATCCGCAGCCGCTTTTGGTTGATGCAGCTAGAGAGAGCACGTGTATCAGGAAATAGCTGAGAAAATTATTCACTGGTCATCCTCAACGGTTTCAACTTAATTGTTCAACGGTGAAAAATTTGAAGCCGATATAGCTAAACATCTCTAAGCTAAGTAGTTTATGGTTGAGATTTATTAGTCATCAACCTTTCTGACAAAATTCTCAAACTGTATAATTTCCCATCTATTTATACCAGATGATAATTTGAACCAGAAAGGCGCATCCGGTTAAGGTGATCATGTGAAATTGTCAGTCATTTACCTTTACTGGGCAGGATAGATTCTCGCGCGGACCAGCCGGATTAGGGTTCAGCGAGGTAGTCGAGGAGGTCAACAATTCAGTGTATCGCACAACCTGACCCGCCACACGAGACATGATGGCCAATTTCGCATGCAATCCCAACTCTGTGGATGCACAAACGTGTCGTAGCAACTCGCTTATTTGGCTCGTGGTGATTGCCGCAGAGTCCTCGACAGGACTGCAGGCGGATTCATTACAGGTCAGTTTATCCAGGGGAAATTCGAGGTTGCGAATCAGCACCATCTCCTTATCCGATTGCGTGAGTCCAGTCGGAAAAGAGTGGCAATTACTATTCGAAGTGCTCAAGGGAAAGACTGATCCGCACAGACCAAGAACCGTGGACACACCCTGTTCATCAAACGGATGACTCATTTGACTCCGAATTAATAAATCTGGCTGAAAACAAAAGAAAAATCAGCTTATGAAAAACTCCTTTTATCACACAAATAATCCACAAATACATGAAAGGCATAATTTAATGACTGATCAAAGTTGATAAAACGAAAGCGCAAGTGTGTTGTCCCCAGTGATTATTTTGTGATTATCTACGATGATTCATTTGTGCAAAACCGAATTTGATGTGAACCATGTGAACCATGCACTGATAAACTAAGTGGTCGTGCTCGGAGCGAATTCGCTGGATGGCAGTTTTGTTCCTTGCTATTGAGGTCGTGGGTCGAACCCAACTGATGACTGAGGACGCCGAGTATATGTTAACAGAATGTCTCACGGGCAATATGTGATGAACAATCGAGCGCGACACGATCCCACTTAGTATCAGCCACCGTGGATTGTGTTCTTTGATGCGTTGTGGTAAATGTCTTTTCATACAACCTGTGTAAGCTGCATTGAAATGGCGGACAATCATAAATGAGGTCAACATAGACAGTTTGTCTTTGTTATGGCGTCAAATGTTTGTGGTCATGGAGAACAAATACAATGGATCTCATTGATGTTCATAAGATTCGACTAACACTTTCAGCTGGGTCTTCCTCCTAGAAGGGAATTTAATCAGCACTACCTTCCCCACTTGAGGTACTTTCACTAGTCCGATCCTTTCAGTCCAATCCTATTAAAAATAATGCGCGCTCCAAGTTTCACTTATTGAAAACAGGTCTGATAACGTAAACGATCATCTCCTTTTATAAAAACAGTTATACTACTGATTTTCAAGATTATGAATTCGACCAACTGAGACCTGCCAAGAATGTCGTGAAGCGCATGAGTCAAGCGGTGCTGTTTGTATTTGATAACACGCTCTTTCGGTCAATTCACTGATGATGGCAAACCACTCGACTACCTCGCCGAGTGGCAATCAAGGGGAGTGGAAACTACTGACAGTGACGGGTTGCGTTAACCATCAATACTTTGGATTACCTTATACTGCCTGTTTCATTGAAAGATACTCATGTAAATACGATTAGAGGGAAGCACTCGCATTAAATGCTACATTATGGAGCTTTTTGCTTCGCTACATATTTCATACACACTTTCTTATCTTAACCAGTGAAACTGGTTCATGATTCCAGATTGCTCTTTTGTAATTAAAGCAGCCCAATGTAATCACTTTACAATAAAACGAACTTTTACATCACCAGCTTTTGATGTATTTCTCTTCATCCATCCATCAGGTATTCACAAAGCGATGGGCAAATAATTCGGTTTAGAGGGCGACCAGAATAGATGGGTCAATTGAGTGGCAGACGAGAAAAATAGTCGAAAAAGAACTTGTAAACTTCGGAGTCATCTTGACAAACGCCAGTTGATTAGCTCAATTCCTAACGGATTTCATAAATCAAAATGACTCTTCAGTGTGCCGTTCTTTTGGATGCATATCCTCGTCACTCAAAGTAGTACCAGCGGATCACTATCACACGAGCCTCGGCACTGGGAACTAAGTCTGCCAGACAGTCTGTGACCGAAGTCCAACTGGTCCGCATAGAATACAATTACAATAAACATCACTACGCCCCAAATAATTATGAGCTTCGGTCGCTGATAGACACAAGCGGCCGTTAGCCACAGTTTGTCGTGTTTCCTTGAAACGTCGCGTGGAAACAGTTCGGTCGGTAGGGATAGGTGAGAATGAATGATAGGCTCATATCAAACCCAGAAATGCTTTTCCTATTAGCGGGAAAAGCAATCGCGTAGACTGAAGCAGGTGATCAGCGCAGTGAAATAAATCTGTCACTCTCTTGAATACAGTCGTTAAATTGCGCGGCACACCAGTCACATACCGAGTCGAATCGCGACACACGGCAATTCACCGGATGTTCTGCCTCGGTAGAATTTTCCACAGGAGTTTCGAAATGTCAAATACTGAATTAGTATGAAATAGACAACCATGTCTGACAATACTACTAGTTAACGGTTAGACAAATGAACTAAATATAGGAACAGATAATTAGCGGAACGTTTGCTTTTCTCGGCACATATACTGGTACTACAACATGGAGTAAGACGTCCGGATTTCTAACCTCTGTTTTTCATGTGTTCTACGGTGACTGTCTAGTCATAGTTGTCGTGGTTTGCGCTGAACACAATCTTCTAGAATAATAAATAATCAATAAAAATGAAAGAGTTTGCTCAGATATTATTCCCAAGCTGGATTTTCAAATGAATACGCAGCAATACTTTTGCCGCACGGATAATCTCTTTCATAACAAATAACGTCCCTTTGAATACATATGGCTCAAATCGTGTTCCTCTCCCGATAAGAGCCACCAGTGAAGAGGTTTGTAATCGAATGAGAGGTGGATCCGGGGAGCTAACCTGAACTGGCTGGGGCATCCAAGGAAGGTAGGGAGGTAGGGGAATAAAAACAACTGTGGCAAACCAAACACCAAACACGACCTGTATTTCACCCTGATCGATGGAACAAACAGCAGTGGACTACAAGTTGTTTTTTTATGAGAATGTGTCGGCTCAGTGCTTCTTATTTTCTGATGTATATATACGGTCCTTTTCCTTTGAAAATTTTACCCACAAAACTCATATTCAATCAATCCAAGTTCAAGCTAGAGGCTGTTAGCACCCAAATAAGTTTAACTATTTCGGGATGTATTACAAATATCTTTTGTTTAAAAAAGAGATTAGATGTAGTGATGATGCATGATTACGTGTGAATAGACACAAGGTTTGCGTTGTATCAGTGCAGTATGTGTTCTGTCGACACGATCCAGTACTGTTAGTCAGAAGTGGCAAGGGTATAGATCTGTATATTTTTGGGGGCAATGCATTCTGTCCATGGATAGAAAGTAGGAAACAAACAGTTATTTCCTCGATATTTGTTGAGGACCTATACACACTAAATCATAAGGAGCTTCTCTATCGAATGAAGTGTTAAGTATGAGGTCACCAAACAGTTACTTGGATTTCTATCCCTCGTCCTCGGAGCTGCAACCGATTAATTGCTATTGGAGACAATGTCTGAAGAAACGCGAACCACTGCTTCCTGCCGCGAAACTTGTCTGCCACAATGGTCACACACATTCCGTTTCCGGTTGCAACCATGGATGCGGGGATGATGAACTCACATGAGAACAAAAATCTGGTCTGGAGGGGGGAGGGGGTGGTTCCCGAGTGTAGCATCAACCAAACAGACTTTTTACATGAAAAAGAAGTATGCGTGTTTGGACAGAGAAAGACAAGGACTACGAATATCCGCAGATCATCGGTTTTACAATGGTTTTGCTTGTTGACATCTGGGGAAACGAGATCAGTAAAATTTTGTTCACAGTCATTTATCAGCACGAACACATATATGTACGCCTTGTCCATATTCATTCAGCGGTTGTTATAAATAGTTATATAACCCAGAAATTTGATCACGTAGATCAAAGGCTAGAGTACAATGTGACAATCGTTGTGACAGTACTCAAAAACTAAGTGTTGAACCGGAACCTTTTCAGTACTAACCTTAATGCCGTTCAACCCACGCACAAACTGGCGAGATCCTAAGTTTGAACTTTGTGTCAATAAGAACAAATGACCTATCAAAGGTTTTAAATGACGCGGGAATGAACTTAATTTCCGAAGAACGATTCAGTGAAACAACCAAACATCCATATACAAATCCGTGTAGACAAAAAGCACCAATAATGGCTAGATCACATGATTCGCTCAACGTTTCACAATACGTTCTCCATAAGCCTTGTCGATAAGCTTCGCAGTTCAATCACCTGTGCGTTTGTTCACCTTTGTTCCGCTTCAAACCACCACACACTATCCGCCTTGTTAGTTCAGTTTTACCAAAATGGTATTTGACCGACCATATTCTCCGGTTATTTGCTACTTGGCTAACAGGGCCGGAATTTGGAATTCACATGCCATTTGCTTTTAACGTGCACAAGACGAGAGACAAAGGGGCATGTGTACAATCTTTTTTCTTCAAAAATATTATTTATTGATGCATCTCCGAAACTCCGTTCGTCCAGAATAGTTATGCACACGCATCGATACATCGTTACATTGTATGAAGGGGACTAAAAGTGCCATTCTTCTGGGGGAATAGTGCACCGCGGAATCAGGGCGGAATCGAATGTTTTGTTTCCATAGTTATCGGTAATCATTCCAATACCCACGAAATTGAAACAAACAGGACGCGCTGTCGGCGGCACTGTAGCAACTCAGCCCACCTGGATACGTTTAATTACATCCAGTGCACATGCTGAGTGAGACCTTTGCCAAAGCCAGTTTAAAGTTGATTTCATGTATCTCTCAGTGCTTCATTATGATTGCTAGAGATACTGAGGAATTGAAAAATTTCGGACAAATATTTCAACGCCGTGGGTATAACGCTTCCAATTTCCGAAATCCGCTGGCCTCATTTACGCGTTTTGCCTGGTTTTTCTGTTGCAGTACAGAGTGGCGAACCGGAACATACAGGTACAAATGCACATCCCACCACAAAGGCACAAATCTCCACCTGTTGACCCTCGGGTGCCCGAGGCGATGACCTAAGCGTGGGCCATATGTTCAAAGATTTCGGTATGAGATCACTTCCGAAATTTTAGTTTAAATCGGTTTAAATCGATGGATTTGGGCTGAATTGTTCAGAGGACAGTATTCTTTTGTTTTTGTTGTGAAAGCTAAATTTTGACTGGCAATATTTTGTCCGTGAACGTGAATGAATGGAGAATTTGTTTTCATCCACGCAGATACCTTCCGTCACACTAAATAGTTCTCCTTCAATGTGAACACTAGGTTTAAAGTGAACTGATAATCCTGCCTCGGGAGAAGCT